GCGTCGAGGCGCCGCCCACAACGGAGGGGGGGTGATGTCATGGTTCGGGTCGGGCCTTCCGGGCCATAAGGCCCGCACGGGCCCGCATGGGCCCGCATACCGCCGCCCCTTCGACAATCCCCCATTCCTTCAACCCCTTCCCTTCACCCCTGCGGCCCTACGCAGCGCCCATCCGATCCGCCCTGGGACCTGGCGCCCATCCGATCCATCCCTAATATCGTAGCATATAAAAACCGTACTTACAAGATGTAGTCGCTAGGCTAATATCGTCTATTCTCCGGGCGAATACCCATCTCTCGTGCTCCCAGACCCCTTCGAAGTCGGTTCCGACGCCCCGATACAGCCCGAGCCCGACGTTGACAATCTGTAGTAATGGACCAGGAGTCCCTTGATACATTGCATACGCTGCAACACATTGCAAACGATGACGATTTCGACACGACAAACATGCTGGCCCAAGAAAATATTGTCACTCTCAGCGGCATACTCGATGGCTCTCAATCTCTCAACCTCAGCAATGCTGGAGGCGAATTCGAAGGATTAGAAGAGCTACTACAAGGCGAGCAGCAAGCAAGGTTCTTCATTTTTTTAAATAATGTATTGCAATCGACTCATAGTTTCCATAGTACCCGTCGCCGTGATTGGAGAACACGCCGCGACTCAACTCAGAGGCGTTCAGAAGCTTTCGCCGTCCAAGGCCCCGCTATGCTGAAGGCATATTATCGCTTCTGCGTGGCGGTGCAAGAACTCGAGGTGGAATTGCATATAACTGAACGCCGGAGGTCGGACCAGCGCGAATACCAAGAGGCGGAGCAGGATGGACTCAAGGTCCAATGCAACATCCAGCATAAGCGGTGGTCCCGCGCCATCTATCGAGAACTTATGCATCGTTACTTCAAGACCGTTCGTGCCCATGAAGAAATCCTCCGGCTCAATGTGGAAATCCGTCGCTTACTAACATGGATGCATGAGGAGTCGAAGTTCTTGGGCGAGGTGGAAGCGAGCCTGCGAAACCCTGTGGGGAAATCTCCGGAGCAGGCAGCATACGACCTACTGTTGGCGGTTCAGCTTAGTTCATACGCATCACAACGGCATCTTTTCGACAGTGAGCACCTGCGTCGATTCCATGCTCTTGCGGGAACTGAAGGCTTCATGGGTTCACTGGAGTTAGGAGTTCCAGTTCGTAAATTCAGGCAGGCTATGGACATTGATGACGACAACCTGCTTGCAGTCGATGTTATGCCGCTGACCATTCGAGGAGATATTACTTCACACCCATATACTGAAGGGAATGTAGAGTCAGATGATGAAGGGGATGACGCACACGATGCTTACATTGCTGATGTATTATATGATTTAGCCACAGTGAGTATGGACATTGACTAGCAGTTTTTGTTTGTATGAGATAGACGATTAAAATTTCTATTTTAGGCAGTTCTGATCTGATTGGTGATGGTACTGATGTTGGTAATAAGTTCTAAGATATATAGTATCTGAAATTATTTCTTGGAGCAAAGTTGCCTTTTTTGGCAAGCAGTGATGTGATCATGATTTAAGATCAAATTATCACTGATAAGCAGTTCTATAACTTAGAAAATATCTGTTTGGAAAATTATTAACTTTATAGCAGTTTTATTGCACTATTTACTGCAGCATAGGGCCTCAGAGTGATTTCATTCTAGTTAGGATGGGAGCTGCAATGCATCATCCATCCTAGTTAGCAGGGTAAAGTGGGATTTACAGGTGCACAAATTTCACCTTTTGATATTTATTCCCTCCCAAAACTTGAAGAAAGAGAGTAAAAAAAAACAGACAAACAACAGACACTAAAATGTTTTCTTTTCATCCATCCTTAAGTGCCAGAGAAAGAATCTTTTTTCATTATAACAAAAGAGCAATCAAAAGACTGCCATTTTGTACAACTTTTTGTCTATATTAAATTGAAAATTAGGGTTTTGGATGGTCCCTTTTGTGTAACACAAAGAACAATTTCAATGATAAACACTGAGCTGGGCATCCAGGTAAACACTATATAGTATATTCAGTAGGACAGACACAAGCTGACTTGAGACCCTTGCTAACAGAAACGCACACATCATACATGCCTCTGTGGCTTACTCTAACTATATGAAAAGGAACATCAGAAACCTTACTGTAGTATGTACAGATATGGACAAAACTTTCCAACCACCAGTTATTATAGATGACAAGAAATCTCCAAAAAGATGTATGAGGTGTGCTAAAGCCTATTGTGAAAAGCGCCTTGAATGTAAAGGAAGTGGTGGTCAGAAATGGTGTCAGTGTATACACCCTCCACTTCAAAAAGGAGAACGTGTAAGAATTGCGGAAAGTGTGATAATTGCATTTCTGGCACAACAGAAACTGGCACAACAGACTTCATAGTTATTTATTATATTGATCTTGTATATATATATATATATAAATAAGATCTTATACTCTTCTCATCTTCCATATACTAAGTACTGACTACTGACCTATTTCATTTAACCCTGCCCATCACAGTCATATCAAATTTTTTGGCCAAAATTTTTAGTGTGTCACATGTGACCAGCCATTTTTGTGCTTCCAAAGCAGCCCAATTTGAAGGTATTTAAAGAAAATTCATATCTGTGACAGCAAATTTCCTAATTAGGGAACAGGTCACACAAAATTAAACATTTCGGCCAAGCGGTCACAGGTCACAGTCCTGCTGAATTGAACAAAATGGGTAAGTACTTTTATCATGAATAATGATAATTGTCCACCTCTGGCAACAATCAAAACTTACACCATATATTTCCAGTTTAAACTTAACCTTCTAGTATACTCTATATATTTATTAAATATCCAAATGAGGTTAACAGCACCAAGAATCCCTAATTTTTCAATACCTGGTTTATAACTTTCTTATTTTCCCTTCCACTGGTGGAGTAATATTTCCAGATATGTTGTTTACAGTCTGATCATATGCAAGCCAGTAAGTGTCAGCACTTACAGACATTCCTAGATCATTTATGATAAGTCATGGTACTGATACTACTGAGTTTCAGCATGCTGACGCGCTATTTGATGCCATCAAACTTCGGTTCTGGTCTCAAGCATGGTACAGACACAATCTCATCCATTCTTGACCTCAGAACGCGTTGAATCTGTCAGGAAACCATCGAGGAAGCTTGCCTAGGGCGTTTGCCGGGCGTGGGAGCACGATCGGAGCCGCACGTGCTTCGGCCGCGGAAATGGCGCCGACCGGTGACGGGCCATCAAGTCGAGGCCCAACGTTTGAAAAACGATTGGCTGGGGCGTATGCCCAAACGGAGACGGCGCCCCGAAAGGGCATACGCCACGGAACAGCGCCGACGTGAGGACGTGTGAAGGCCGCCCCATTTGGGCATCCGCCATCGAGCTCAACGACGCCCGTTCCCGGCCGCAAAACAGGGTGTTTTCTCGCGGAGATTACAGCAGGTATGTACACTACTCTCTCATCCCTTCCTCTTTTCTCTCCCCTTCCTCCTTCTTATGTGTCTGATTTTTTTCCCTAGCCACAGACATAAGCCATAAGTCAATCATGCCAGGATCTGCCTCGGAAAAATTCCCAAGTCCCAAATCAATCATTTCATCACTGATCATCTTTTTCCTCCATGACAACGCCTGACAGATGGCGTGATTTTTTCGCTGCTTTCTTCCTTCCCACCACATCCCCCAACTCTCTCCTCCTCTCTCTCCGACCTGCAACCAACCGCCTCAGGGGCGTTATGCTTGCTGCGATGGTCGGGAAGGCTGTTGGCCATTGGGGTCCTCGTTGGGTGCGTGTTCTGTCCTTTTCTTCCTCCCTACTTAGGCCTTGCATTCAGGAAGCCTAATCGTTGTGCATTCGCTAACCCCAGGCGACCCGCGCCCATTGGTAGCTGTCGACGCTGCCTGCCCGCACCTTCTCCGCCGCGCCTCTCTCCGCCGAGCGCCCTACGCAACAGGGCCCCAAACGACACACCCCCGGTGCTCAACAACGTGTGGCTTGGCCAACGCTCACAACGGGCTTTGCGTAGCCCAAGATCATCCCCGTGAGCGTGTCCCCCTTCCCTGAATGCCAGCGCTAATGGGTGACAGCTAACAAGGAACTACAGCGCGCCGCTCATGCTGACCGAGCGCCTCGCGCACTTCTGGAAGCGGCACGCGGCATCCGAGGCGCGCAACTGTGACACCGGACGCTGTGTCCAAGCACGTAGGTCCCAATCCGTCCCTGTCCCCATCCTCCTGCTCACCCGCCCTGCAGTTTGCCCGCAATACACCCTCCCCTCTCTAACTCTCGAGGAGAACAGGCAGCAGTTGGGTTTGGGTGGTGCGCCCGCTCTTCTCTGTTCACCCCAAGCCTGTCTGAGGGTTCCACCATGTATTTACATTATGTAACACGTAGAATGATAAAATATATTTTATTTCCTATCATAATTTGAAGTGGCAAATTTGAGAGCAATGGAGAGCGTTGGAGGAACCCTGTTGAGATTCTGGAGAATTTCTGGTGCCAGAATAAATTCTGGAGCTTGCTATGTCATTAATGGGGCCAGGCCGATTCTGGCGGCCTGGCATGCCTGGGACTGGCCTGGGTGCCTTGGCACCAGGATGCCCAGGGCCATGACGTTTTCCTGATGTCAACGGAGTGGTAAATGAACAAATGCACATCTGATATCTATTTGTAGAGTCTGAGCTGACCTGTGTTCCCTGCGGGAAGCAAACATCACAATCGAGACCAATTAGGAAGCACTGTATTTGATACTTCACAGCTTGTTCAAGGAGACACTGATCAGTATTTCAATTTGTCGGATCTATCCACCGGGTTGCACAATAAACTGGCTAGGTAGATGATTATAGAGCTCAATTATAGATTATATAAATCTTCATATATCAGGTCAATCATTAATTACAGACAGTTGATCCGCATTGAGCATTGTCTGAATATATTAAACGGTGCTGTTATAACAAGCTGGTTGACAAACTACTGGCTAACCATGACACCCCGTCAGCCCTACCCTGGCACAGACAGGAAACTTGTTCTTGGCTTTGATATTGGAACAACATATGCAGGAATCTCCTACTCGTTGGTACCTTATAAAGCCTCTGAAGTCTTTTAATAATGTGATATTAGCTTTCTTCAACCCGGTCTACCCCCAACTATCCTACCAGTAACCAGGTTAGGCCGTTAGATATTAGTGGGTGAAGAGTTTACATTTGGTTTCAGATTTCCACCACAAGAACATGTTGGCAGTGATTCGAAAGTCCGTTCTCTGGTCTACTACGACTCTGGTGGTCGACCAATGGCTTGTGGGGCTATGGCTGTTCAAGAACAAGTTGAAGAAAAGGCGGAGGAACAGAATTGGCACAAGGCTGAGTGGTGAGTGTAATTTGTGATATAATCCTCCCTCTGCATTTCAACTGCAAACAGGTTCAAACTACATATGCGCCCAGACCATATTGTTTCCACAAGCATCGATATCCTCCCTCCTCTTCCTGAAAACACACATGGCTCTGATGTATACGCAGACTTTCTGCACTATCTTTATGGCTGTGCTCAATCATACTTGATTGACACATATCATGAGGGTGAAGCCTTGTGGGTTGAGCTGCAACATACAGCAGAGTTTGTACTTACCCATCCCAATGGATGGGAAGGTAAACAACAAGCACAGATGCGCCAAGCAGCAATTACTGCAGGACTCATCCCAGACAACCCTGCTGGACATGATAGGGTTCATTTTGTCACTGAAGGAGAAGCAAGTTTGCATTTTTGCATCTTGAACGGCCTAGCAACTCGTCCTTTAACTGTATGTCCTTGATATCATGTTTGATAGGTGGACTAACCTGCTAAACAATAGCAAGGCAGAGGTGTAATGATTGTTGATGCAGGTGGAGGTACTATTGATATTAGTGCTTATCATAGAGTTGCGAGAGTTGAAGGGGACAGTTTTGAAGAAATTGTCCGACCTTCTTGTATGTGCCAGTTAATAGCCGCATATGATGCATTTTCTCATCAATTTTAGGTCTGTTGGAAGGATCTATATTTGTCACTTCTCGTGCAAAAGAGTTTTTAATAGGTATTTACTTTACTACAATAGGTTGCTTGGATATCTGATGGAATGAATCCTATAGCTCTCCTTCGAGACTCTCGATATTCTGCAGATACAGATTATATTGCAGAATGTTTTGATAAAACATCAAAACTCAAATTTATGGATGATGAAGAATTAGTGCATATCAAATTTGGACGAAATCATGATCAGGATCCCAATTTCAATATTGTTAATGGGCAGTTAAAGCTATCAGGGTAAGAGCATATTTTCAAGCTAGATTTGTTGTATTAATTCAACAATAGCCATCTGGTCTCTTGCTTCTTTCAACCTGCTATTGACACAATAGTAGAGGCAGTACTAGGAATGAGGCAAACATCAAAAGTGCCAATTGATGTAGGGTACACTTTCTCCTGAGTTCTTTATACTAAGAATTCAACAGACTGTACTCCTGGTTGGAGGTTTTGCAGCCAGTGAATGGCTATTGTCTGGGCTTAAAAAAAGGCTAGGACGATTAGGCATAATTGTTTCTCGCCCTGATTCTCATGTGTAAGGTTATGTTTGCAATTTACTGCATTTCAAACTGATTTGTTCTAGGAACAAAGCGGTATCTGATGGTGCTGTCTCCTACTATCTGGATAAATTTGTCTCAGCAAGGATGTCAAAGCATAATTATGGCATTCGGACCTACATGCCATACAATCCAGATAATCCATCACACTATGCTAGAAAGGCATCTGTCATGCAAAGGCTTAATGGAAACAAAAGTATCCCAGATCATTTCTCTATCATTTTACCAAAAGTAAGCCATCCCTGCCCTTCATATACTATTTTACTCTGAGACAGGATGCCCGTGTTTTACATACCAAAGAGTTTAGAGCTCCATATTTACTCTTATATTAAGCAGATGTTGTGTGAATGTATGCACATGTTTGGCATCAGCTTTAGCAATTTATTTACTCCACATTTCCAATTTTGGGACCACTGCTGTTGAAACCCTAATTTGGTAAGAAAAGCTGTAAAGTCTAATTGGGACATAAAGCTGTAAAATCAAGATTTTACATCAAGTACCATAAACAAGTCCAATCTAAGGCTATTTGTGAGGTTGTTCTTGGCTGTAATATCAGTATAGAGGGCATGTAGACCTTGATATTTCATTAACTCATGAATAAAACTGGCATATTCATGCAAAAAATTGTAAAACAATATTTGAAGCTGGGGCGTAGCCCCAGCCTGTCTAGTATCTTTTATCAAAAACACGCGACCAACTCTACTTTATTAAAAATGAAGTCCTGCAATATCAAGGATCAGATACAGACCCACAGTGGATTAGTGATGATCCTGGTATGTTACTAGCGCCTTTGATAATTATGATACCCATAAAAATGACAGCCTCTTACTCCACTCTATTTGTTGTGTCAGCAAACACAAGTTATATTGCAGACACCTTGGCACCAATATCCCGTGGAAAGTTCAAAGGGGATTTTTACTTCCATCTGAAGTATGATATTGTGCTTTCCTTTGGCCTCACAGAGCTCAAGGCTCAAATTGCATGGAAAACCCCCACTGTGTGTCAAATATTTTGCAATGCAGGTGGGAGCTAACTTTTTTTACTTATTCAGGGAGCAGAGAAAAGGTCAGACAAAGCCATTTTGGAAGACATTTTCCCTTGCTGACCAAAGCACCATAGGGGTCCAGCACTTATAACATATCAGTGACTCATGAGTCATTAACCTCCTTCCATGGCGAGCGGGGGGTGAACTAGTGCATTTCATAACTACGACAACATAGAATTTGTAACGGGTCTCAATCTCAACTAACACTGTTTCAAAGATCTACTCAAAAATTTGTTCAGTTTCAGTTCTACGAAACACCAACTTCGTGATTCAGGTCTTAGTGAAGGATAAGGAGCCTCTATTTTGATTGCACATTCAGTCCCGCCGATATGGTCTAGTCTTTCCAAAAAAAAAAAATGTGAGTATGAGTGTCTGAGTCTGACAGCAAGCAAGCGAGTGGAAGTAAATGCGAGAGCGATGATCGACAACGGGGATGGAGATGAGGATTGAGGATGCGGGACAGGATGAGGACGTATGTGCAGCGGCGTCGGTATCGTAGAGCAAGTAGGGGAGCAGGTAGGTATTGGTATTGTATGGATAGCGTAGTGTTCCGTGGGGGTAGTGGGTATTAAATGCATGTACACGCCTTCTTCTTGTTTCCTTAATTTTGTGTCTGCGAGAGGCTATATCGCGGTGTCCGACCTGCTCGCTCCGACAGAGTCATACTTGACATGGCCTCGCCCGTCTGAGTGTGACGCGTACGGCATGCTGGTAAGGTTGACCTCGGAGGAGGAAAGTGGATCGCGTGAGGAGCTGGCGGTGCGGTCAGCGTGAGCAGTTCGGAGAAGAGACCAATGACATGAATGAAGAAGCTAAGGGAGGAAGGGAAGTAGGATGGCCGATGGACCAAGGCTGGAATAGGAAACCTTGGATATACACATCAGGAAGGCGAAAAGCGTCCATGATCGCCGCCGTTGTCGCCGGACTTGGCGCGCAACGCCGAGCAGACTATGTAACGCCGAGCCGACGGGATGTCGTATGACATAGGCAGGTAAAAGAAGCGAAAAGTATTTGGGGAATGAGGCGTAGAGAAGGTGGAGGAATCGACCAGCGAAGAACTCACTAAGGCGTCGCAGTCCCGCTCCCGCTGCCAGGAGCATTGGCCATCAGGTGGGCAGCCGCGTCCGACCCATATTGTTCTGCGAGTTGCCTGTGAACCGGTTAGCATAGGAGCCGCCTGGGTGAAGAAGAAAGGGAGGGCGTGGAATCCGCAGAGAAAAAATGGAAGGACGAGAGAACGATTGAGTGGAGACTTACGCCGCATATCGCTCCATGATTACCGCCATGCTCTCTTTCGACAACCGATAGGCCTTTGGCATCATGCCCTTTCCGAATCGATAGGTGACATGGTTGGAGCAGAGGAGGCCTGCGACCATGACGCCTGTAAAGAAGCTCAGCTCATGCCGACATCGAAGCGCAAAATGCATACCAATGTGAATGGGGACAAGCCCAAACGACACAGTGTACCACCGGACAAGTGCCTTCTTCTCAAAGTCGAGGAAAGCCTTCTTGCAGCCAGGCAGAATGCTCCGAGCATAACAAGTGCTGCTGACCGTCGCTTCGACGAAAGGCGAAAAGTAGCCACAGCAATGAAGGGCGTTCTGAATGACGAGCCGCCCTTGAGCGCCGAGGTCCCGGCTCCATTGCTGGTTGATCTTGCCCTCGAGATTGAGGTTTCGTTGTTTGTACGTGAGATAGCCGGGGACGACGAGGAGGCCGAAGGCAATCCAAAGAAGGAAGGTGTAGACGGCGAGGAAAGGGCGGTTGTTGAGAAGTATACCGGGGAAGCCGATCAGGGAAGTGACGAATGCGAAGGTCGCGGCGATGGTAGAGAGTACGAGGTCGGTGTGGTTGGCGACGAGAAGGACCCGAGCGTCTTTCAACGTGCGGAACCAGGTGAGGAGCGTGAATATGAGGGCGCATAAGGAGTAGATGGAGAGGATGACATTGGCGGTGAATAGGATGACCTAGATATGTCAGTCAGGCGAAAAAAAGTAAGAAGACAAAGAGTGAGACGGACCTTGAACCTGGTCCAGCGCAGTCGCCTCCTCCCACTTTTGAAGTCGACCCCATCGTAGTCATCGTCGCCAGCCCCGGGCATCCGCGGAGCCCCGCTGCGAAAAGCTTCCACACCTCCGCCCCGTGGGACCACACCCTGCAAGTCCTCCGTACGTCCACCCCTCTTGCGCGAAACGAGTGTCGAGGAGAACTTGGCCGGTACGTAGTTGACGGTAAGCGAATGGAGTGACGGGTCTGGCGAGGACGACCGCAAGGGCACCGCTGACGGGGGACCAAGGTAGTCGGGATTCATGGTGTTGGCGGAGAGGATGTGCCTCGTGGAGGGTGTTTGAGAGATAGTACTGTTCGCTTGGGAGCCAGCAGAGTCCCGGCGCGAGTCGGAGCCAAAGTATGCTCGGGTCGGGCTATGCGTGTAATGTGCTGGCAGTTAGCATCGCTTCAAGCCGTTCAAGATGACAGCACGCACGAATCTGTCCCACCGTACATCGTGTGATGGACTGCGACGGGTAGGTAAAGCTGGGTGGGGCTGCGGAGGTGGAGAGAGGAGGAGGGAAGGGGAGGGAATGCGCTCGCTGTCCTGCGTGTCCCATCAATTTGATTGACGTCATTTGGCTGTCGTCACGCATTTTTTTTTTGTCCCGTCCCTGAGCTCGTCGTCAAGGCGCTGAAGCATTGCCGAGGCGATCGGCGTTTTGAGTCTATAACACGTTTTCTCTCAAGTCGTCTGCGCAGAGTTCAAACTTGAGATTGGGTTGAGAGTTTTGGGCCTACGTAGTGAACGTTGACAGAAAATCGAAAGAACAGTCATCATGACGGTGTTATTTCACACGTGTGACGCATTCGTGATGGCCACGTTTTTAAACTGGAAACTTACAGTAAAGATACCATGTCTTCCAACTTGAATAGGTTGCGCACCTATAGTGCACCCTAATACCCTCTAGTTAGAGGGATAGAGGGGGGGTACTCTCTCCCTCTAACTAGAGGGGGTTGAGCCAGTAGCGGGCACCCCAGCTAAATATGGCTACCAAGGGGGGTCTTGGTAGCGGGGAAAGAGGCCCGGAGGCTGCCATCACCCTCCCGGCTGCCTCCCCGCCCC